CCCAAGCCCTAAACCCTAAACCATGGCTCAAGCCTCCCAGGCATGGTTACACCTCCTGCGTGGCTTTGCCGGGTGTCCTCCGATGGAACGCGGAGGATGAAGCGAGCTTGAAGAGGAATCCGTTATAGGGGTTCAAGGTTTGGGGTTTAGGNNTAGGGCATGGGGGTTGAGGGGTTTAGGGTTTAGGGATTTAGGGTTTAGGGGTTCAAGGTTTAGGGGTTTAGGGGTTTAGGGGCTTGAAGAGGAATCCGCCATATGGCCATATGGGTTCAAGGTTTAGGGGTAACCCCGCAGCCCAAAAACCTAATAGGAACGTGGGGTTTGGGTTTAGGGTTCAAGGTTTTAGGGGTTTTAGGGTTTTAGGGGTTTAGGGGTTAGGGGTTTAGGGGTTGTAGGGCTTTAGGGGTTTAGGGTTTAGGGGCTTGAAGAGGAATCCGCCATAGGGGTTCAAGGTTTAGGGGCTTTAGGGGTTTAGGGCATGGGGGTTGAGGGGTTTAGGGTTTAGGGTTTAGGGTTTTAGGGTTTAGGAGTTTAGGGGTTTAGGGGTTTAGGGGCTTGAAGAGGAATCCGTTATACTTAGGGGTACTTAGAAATAAAAAAATTTTAAATCTTTGGCTACTATAAACCCGAAGAGGCAGCTAAAATTATAATTGTTGCTAGGGGTCTAAGTTCAGTATAGCATCGGGGTTCAAGGTTTAGGGGTTTAGGGTTTGGGCTTTGGGCTTTGGGGATTTGGGTTTAGGGTGGGAAGTGAAACTAGAGGTTGTTTTGGGGAAGAGGTTGCCGAATGGGCTTGTGGGCTTCAGGGTTTCCTTTCAGGCGTGGTGTAGACCATGGAATCTTGAATAATCTGTTTGTGCAGTTTTGGGGATGTCGTTCAGGTTCGACATTAGAGACTAGAGATATTGGATTTGACTACAACTGCATTTCATGTTTCAGGATCCCTGATCAAAGCCCCTGAACCCTGGAGCCTAACTTCCCTCAAAGCGTAGCATGCGAGAGTTTGAGAAAACATTGGACTCCACAGGCCCAATCCAGATCCTGAGCTGTATAATCCTTAATATAACAACCCCCGTAGTTCCAAGCAGTTGAAGCAGTCACTCGCAAGAGATGATGCGCAAAATTCGCCCCAATATCCCACATCTAGGACATTTTCAGGTGGGAAGTTACCATTATAGGAGCGTTATAGAAGATCTATATACCTTACGGAAGCCTTATAGACGCCCTATATACCCTAAACTCCCCACCTGTAGTTTCCTTTAACCAAAGGTGTGAGCATCCTACCCATACACTCAGAAGCCCGGTCATTGCCTTTTGAAGTTGGTAGATGAGATTGATTGCATGATACTGCATGATACTTCATAATGATACTTCCTAGTATAAAGACCCTACATTCTACTATATAGGTACATAGAACCCTTTGAGCAAGACTTGGCTTTCGCAGTGGGAATGTCTGCGACACAGGAAACCACAAACACGCAGAGTCATGAGATTGGTGATTTGCAATGCCAGCGTCAATCGCTAGGAACACACGGAGCTATTGGAAAGGTCCTTCAGCTTGGGACAGGATTCAGCTTTTGGCGGTACCATTGCTGATGTGATGGTCTTGACTTGTAAATCACGATGGCAGTTTGGAAACTGACGCCGTGGCCTGGACTTCCAGTGGTTGACCAGCCTTCTGAATCACACCGCTACTGTTCGTAGTACAGTTCGTGCACTTCTGGAGCATGACGTTGCAGTAGCGGGAGATGTTGCTTTTTAGATGATTCACGCGATGATACATACGCAAAGCCCCGATCGCAGGCAAAAGTTGGTCGTAGAGGCCTTCGAGCGTGCAGGTGCAGCCGAAGGCAGTCCTCCCTCCAGGGTTTCGGGTTGAGGGCTTGGGGTTTAGAACTTACGACGAATACAGGGGATGAATGGCTTAGAGTAAAGAATTACGGTCTAGAGTTGAGGTTTTAGGGTTTAGATTAGTTTCGGGGTCAGTGTATATAGCCCTTCGAAACCCTATCTCTTCTTGTGAACCGTGTGGTGAGCATATATTTCAGGTATTAGAACTTATGGGCAGTCAAGGATGATAACTTGCTAGGAACTTCTGATGTCAGATGCATATAGTACACCTTGGGAATGTTTTGAGTGCATACACGTACTACACGCACCGTGTGAAACCCTCATAAGACACAGGAACACTTAGAGAAAGCTCCATGGAAGTCCTACGTAATCTATCATACCCCATAAATACCCCGGGCAAACGCTTGTAAAGCTTGGATGAAACTCCCATACAACCCTCTGAAACCTGACGTCATATGGACCGACGGCCGGAACCTTTATCGAACCTTCTCTACTTCAATTGAGCAGCGGCTCGCAGATACGGCGTAGACTTAGAGTTCAGGACTGGTTTCGGTTCAGGGTCTATGGTGGGTTGAGGTTGTGGGGGGGGGGGGGGGGGGGNNGGGGTTAGGATTTAGGGCTTGGGGTTCTAAAGCCTACAATCTGTCTACCCCGAACGTCTATACATCCTAAGGCTATAGGGAGCCGGAAACCCTCAGGCCCTAAACCTTCGAGCCCGAAGCCCTCAAAACTTTAATAAGGTTGAAGTCCCCATCCGGCCCTATCCCTAAAGCTATACGATTGAACATCCCTAAACCCCTAGACCCCTAAACCCTAACCCTAAACCCTAAACCCTTAACGCCTGAAGCCGCTGACAGGTTCGGCCTCTGCGGGCGATTGTGTGGCGAACCTGGTTAAAGAGCTGGGGCTGTTCTTCGGCGCAGCAAGAACTTGGATTTCGGGACTTTCGGGTTAGAGGGTTTGGGAAGTTGGGGTTCGCGGCTGACGCTGTAGGGTTCATGGTTTTGGAGTTGAACGTGCGTAGGGTTTGCGTGGGTTTCAATTTAGGCGTTGAGGGCTGTGTGGCTTTCGGAGTCAGATGTGCTAGGGTTCTTGTTTTTAAAGTTTACGGAGTTTGGGTGTGTCTTTCGGCTCAGTTTTCGTTTTTGTCTCGAAACCTGTTTCACCATTGTACGTTGAAGCTGAAGGTTAACGATGTTGACATTGCCGCACAATGTCTGTGCCCCCTAAAGTACTATGACCTAACTTCTTGTAGGGTCTTCTTTCAGACCACAAAACACAATTTGTAGGGGCTCTCCGGTTGAGGCAAGATCACGAAACCAGCCTGTGACCCTTATAAGCACTATATACTACGTGCCCCCCAAGCCCTATTCTAGTCATCAAGGCCCTCATGAACCCTATTCTACTTATCTATTACGGCCCCTATGAACCCCCTAAACCCTAAACCCCAAAACCCAAAACCCTAAGCCCTAAACCCCCTTTTCCAAACTCTACACTGCAGGGTTTAGGGTTTAGGGTTGCACCCTCCACGCTGGCGAACCTAGGCCTGGATCGCTTGCAGATGTCGGAGTGGCACGGGACCAGCTCGAGGCTGCCTTGATGTTGCCCTTGTAATTCGTGTAACGATTGGAGTTTAGGGCTTAGGGCTTAGGGCTCAGGGTTTAGGGTTTAGGGTTTAGGGTTTAGGGCTAGGGTTAGGGTAAGTTTACTGTAATTATAGGGTTTAGGGCTAGGGTTGTCATCAAGGTTATATAGAGGGTTTTGTTTGGTTTTGTTGAATGGTGTAGGGTTTTCCAAGCTTTAATTCCAGGTTTAGGGTCTATAGAGGCCTTAGAAAGACCGAGCAGATCCCCCTGCTAAGTTGATCGAATTACCTTGACCAACCCCCCGAGCCAGGAGCCTTCACTGGGCAAATCAGTGGCTGCAGTTTACTAAAGCTGTTCAGTTCAGTAACCTCGTCAGGGACCAAGATGCTTCTCAACAGGGTTCTCAATTTGGATCCTTTGCCTTTCGGTGTATCTGGAACCGAGGGTCTAGGGATCAGGCTCCTGCAATATTGTTACGGAGGCCAGGCTTGGAAAACTGTATTCACCCCTTCTTCTTCTTCCGCAACAACAACAACTACAACTACAACAACTACTACTACTACTACTACTACTGCTAGTACTGCTACCACTACTACTACTAC